TCAGTGTAATCTGTATTCCCAGAGTAAAGAGGGAAATGATGTCATCTTAGTAGAGATACACAAATATCTGACAACACTCAGGACTTACTCATGACCGTTTTCATGGTTGGTTGTGACAAGGTCTCACACTCCAGTTCAGGCTATCTTGGAAAGCATTACATTGTAAATCTGCTCTGAATTTGTAGCAGTCTTCCTCCCTCAGCCCACCAAGTGCTGGGATAGCAGACATGAGCCACCATGCTAACTGTGTTCGTGATTTTAAGAACATATTTTTTGTAGACTTGAAGGGTAGTTCCTTAATAAAGTATAGTTAGCTATGAAATATCTCTGGTAATAGTGTGCTTCATGATGATATATGGAATATTTTCTGAGTGGTCACTCTGAGTTTGGGCAAAGCAGCAAAAAAGATATCCATTCTTTCTATCTGTAATAAACACTACACTGCAGGTCCATATGTGTATGCAAATGAAGTGTCAAATGATACAAGATTTTTAAAAATAAACACATCACAAATGACAGGATCATACACATATACACCCACAACAAACCTATAAACTGCTAGAAACAAATGAACTTATCAAGATCACCGAATTTGGGGCTGATATATAAAATTGATTTATTTTTGTATAGCAGTAAATAATTATAAAATTAAACTATAAAAATACCATTGACAATGTCCCACTGAGACATCCTAGACATAAACATTTGTTGAAGATGCTATGAGCAGCTGTGGTAATTCATACAACCACCACTGAAATGGCATTTGGCAGTGGTGAAGAGAGATTCTATTTAACTCAAATGAGGACAAGTAGGGATTTAAAACCAAGAAACAAGGTGAGTTCAGCACTGAACACTGACTGAAAGAAAGCATAAAGGATAAGGAGTTTCTGTCCAAACTGACTTCACAGAATTGTTGCTGATGGCTGGCCAGGGAGATAAGATATTGAGGTTAACCACATGCCAAGCATGAGATTTTCCCTCAACTGTCTTAGCAGAACTCAAGTTCAAACCAGATCCTGCAAGGAAGGAACCCCTCATGGAAAAGGCTAGAGATTTTGACTAGAGTGTTGGTCAAAGGAGAGTTTGACACTAGATATATGTTTCCCTAAGACCCGGCAGTTAAGATTTTAAAATACATGCTGTTGAAATCAGTGCTTCTACCTATGACAATTTTAGTCACATTAGCCCCAACTGGAAATAATACAAAAGTCCAGCAACAGCAGATGGGAAATGAACTGGGACACATTTTCACAATGGAATATGATGGTAAGAGAATATGTCACTGCCACTTAAAACAACATGACCAAATTTCACATAGAACATGCTGTGTCACAATGGCCAGACACAAAATTTCATAACCTGAATTCATACTCATGAGACATTCAAAACCAGGCAATGTTAACCAATATGACAATAGGAGTCAGACAGTAATTGTCATCCGGGTGCTTTGCCTCAGAAAGGAGCCTCCTAGAAGGCACAAAATGTTCCGTGTTTGGAAAAAGGTCATCCCCTAGAAAGTTAACTCTGGGCACTTGAGATTTGTGTTGTTTGACTCATAAAGCTGGCTTCGAAAGCCAGATCCCAGGTGCCATGTTGCAGCGCTTTATCTGAGCCAAGACCTCTGCATGCAACAGGCCACTGGTGGGTACCATAGAGAGTAGAAGAGCAGTCACAGCCTGTACAGTGGTGGCCATGCCAGGGCAGGCCCTTGACCTGGCAGACGCTTAGAAGAGTCTGCTGTGTCATAGGTGAGAGAACAGTGACAGGGGCCAGCTGGAAGGCCTAGTCAGTCTGTGAAGGCACAAACAAAGACTGAGACCTTCCCACAGGAACCACTGTTGCCAAAAATGCAGCAAGGACGGTGCAGCTAAAGGCTCCACTTTGGCTCCATTCTAAGTGCGAAGGTAGAGGGAGAATAAACCTGTATCTTGTTTGCACATGTGGATGTTGCTGTCTGTCCAGCATGAACCACAAGGCACAAGCTGACAAATAACCTATTTGTGCAAGTAATAAAATACTACTTAAGAACTTATCAAAATAATTAAGAACACATGGGCACATGGGTGTTTAAAAATCAGAAAAAAAACAAAAACTTACCAAGCACATCAGATGAATGAGAGGCAACACCCTCACTTGGATCCCATGAAAGGAGGGAGGGACACCTAACACTGTGATGGTGATGTAGCCATGGACCTGTTGTCTGATCACCTGGGGCATGTGCCAAGGGACAGAGAGACAGAGAACCCTTGACTATTCCCCAGGGGCTTCAACTCAGTAGTCTCCACTGTTTTACAGAATCCACTTTAATTGCTGTCTGTCTATCCATCCATCCATCCATCACCCATCCATCCATCCATCCATCCAGCCATCCATCCATCCATCCACCCACCCATTTGTACACCTAGACCTGGCCTGTGACTCACCTCAAAGGTCCTGTACTTCAGTGCCTCAGTGTCTACAAGCTCTTCAATAGGGTTTGTCAGCATCTTGTCTAAGTATCTTCAGTGGCTCTTCTGCCTCTGTAGCAGCCTTCTGACTCTGCCTTGAATAAGACTGTTTTGTTCTCTATGTAGCCTCTTTAAATCCTTGGTAGTTATTCTGAAACACATACCGATAGGTATATATTACTATATGAAGTGCAGTGTGTGATCTGAGAGTTAACATTAGTAATTAAGATGAGCATTCCAGAACTTTTGATTGTTGACAGCCATAGTCTCAAGAAAAAATTGGGACAACTTGATAAACTGTACCCAGTGGAACTGATGTAGCCTGCCAATCTAACTCTATTGATTAACTTTTGACATTTCAGAAAGACACCGATGAACCTGTCTATGGTTTTTACTAGCATACTCACAATAACTGTCCTACTTCACATACTTTAGGCAATTATAATTAGTCATCAACTTGAGATTCTAGGAATGACTAAACTTGCTTTGCTCTCAGCTTGTAGATAGACAGACAGATACACACACACACACACACACACACACACACACACACACACACACACACACACACATACACACAGCTGCAACCTCTTTTTTTAGTATTGGAACAAAACATGATGAGATTGAATCCGAGCAGTTCAAAAAGTGGCTCATTGTAGAGAACATTAGATTCACCTTAGTGAACCTTCAGGTTTTCTTGCTTCCCTGTGTCTGCTAGACCCTCAGTCACTTGCTCACCTTAGTCATCATCCACTACTTATAGATCCAAGTATCCCCACCACCTCAGGTCACTCCGACATCTTTTGCAATCACCATTTCCTTAAACATCAGTAAGACTTTTTACCTTTCTTTCATCTTGCATCTTCTATTTCCTCTCCGTGTCTCCTGGCATCCCCTCTGCACCTCAATTATCTCCTCCTCTTCCTTTCTCTTCTCAGAAATCCTGCCTATACCTTCTGCCTCACTCTTGACCGTTCAGCTTTTGATTACACCAATCACAGCAAATACACCTTCATACAGTGTTCAAATACCCCACAACATTCTCCTTTCATTGCTTCCCATTCCTCTGTGACTCAGTTTCCTTTCCTTTACATGAGATTAACTCTCAAATAGATGCTAAATTTACCTTTGGGCCTTTTTTTCTAGGGAAAATAGGCAAACCTGTAGTTTGGAGACAGATATTTTAGAATCTATGGTTGCTGTTTTTTTTTTTTACATGATTGAGTGCGTGCGTGTGTGCATGAGTGTGTGTGTGTGTGTGTGTGTGTGTGTGTGTGTGTGTGTGTGTGTGTGTGTATGTGTGTGTGTCCCTATGGCAAGGCATGTATGTAGAAATCAGAGAACTACTTGCTGGAGTCTCTTTTGTCCTTTCTCCATGAGAGTTCCCGGGATCAAACTCAGGTTGTCAGGGTTGAGAGCAAGTGCCTTTCTTTATGCACAGTCCTCTCTCTGGCCTGGATCTACACTTTGTATCTGTAGGCACGACAAATGCAGTTATCCTTTCCTACGAACATGTACTTTGATCATGTGGACAATCACTTTAAACCTCTACTTTAATTCTTCCTTTTCAATTGTTTATTAGTACGTTCACAATAGATACTAAATTAATTGTTATGAGCCAGACGCCCAAAGAAATGGACAGACAAGGTAAAATTCATGCTTTTGTCTATCTGAAGACCAAACTAAGTTTGGGTAAAAGCTATTTCCAAGTAATTTGAAGTCAGGAATATGGTGGGCCACTTTAGATTTTCATCTGAAATTTGGTGAGTTTGAAAGAATCTAGCTGATTCTCCATAATTTATGCTTTTCAGGGTGACATTTAATTTCAGCAAAATAAGTTCATGTTGTTGGTTTAAACTTTAATGGCTGGTAGGAGATGTATGGTAGAGAAGCAATGAGGTACTAAGGGAACTGGTGGAAGTTTGTTTTGAAAAATAAAATCAAAGTTTTACATTTTCTCTCAGTATAAAATATTTTGTAACATCTGAACTACTCACTGATGCTTTGGTGTATATAGATTGTATAAGGAGCATGCCATGAGATGCTGAGGTCATTCCGGTGTTGCTGAGATTAAAAGTGAAGTCCACCAGTAGAGAGAATTGGAGAGATGCCTTACAGGAAACAAAAGTCTACTTAAATGCACTAAAGTCAAGTTGGGAAGGTGGGGTCCAGGGTGGTGGTGGGTGGATCAGTGTCCCTGACTAGACAAATATTTGTAAGTAAACATATCTTCCAGTGGCCAACCTGCTTTTCTGGCATGCATGCTTCTGGGAACCGGATGCAGGCTCCCCCACCCTTGCTCAAGCATCTGGCACAGCCTAAGGCAATCCCAACATTCCCTTTAAATAGAAACAAAAGTACACAGTTTGGTTTTAAACAATACTTACTCTTACATTGTAGACAAATGTGGTAAAGAACTATTTAGGGTCAAGAGGTTAAAGACCTACAATAAATCACCTTTGATAAGGAGAAAACTGTGTCTCTACTTTGTGCATATATATATATAGTAGTAAAGACACTTGTACAACCAGCCCTTTCCAAAGGGAAATCTACATGATGGGACCATTGAAGAGTCCTGTCTTCATCTTGATCCTCCACCTTCTGGAAGGGGTTCTGAGCAATTCCCTCATCCAGCTCAACAACAATGGCTATGAAGGCATCGTCATCGCCATCGACCACAATGTGCCAGAAGATGAAGCCCTCATTCAACAGATAAAGGTGTGTTCTAAGAGGCATTTTTCTATGCTTTGTCAATTCTTAGCTAATAGTAATCAAATCATCAATAAGCATAATATTGTGGTAAAGAGAACACGATTTGTCTTGGCTCCAGTAACTTGACTTGGCAAGATATTTTTATGTCTGGATCTCAGATTCTTTATCTATAAAAGGAAAGCAGTAACTCTTTACCCACCAGGATTTTCATGAGAAACAAGGTGAACGAGATGCACATAAATCCAAGTTAGATGTGCTGTTGGCACTTAAGAAACGACATCTGTATTTTCTGGCTGTAGGCTGTCACTGAAAATTGTTTTGTTCTAGGCAAAGGCAAATTCAGCTGCATTTAGGGGACACTGGTAACTGCACAGCAGATAATTTCTCTGCAGGATGCTACCAGCACATAGTAGACTGTCTTTTTATTCTACTTGTAACTAATCTGTGATGCTAAATAGGAGCCTGAGGCACAAGTTCTAACTTAACCCTTCCAGTGGGCAGAGACGCTGCATATTTTCAACCTGGAAGCAAGGGGTCAGCTCAGAGCTGCCACGGGTTGGGGCGGGCATGGGCACACCTTGGCACCTCTTCTGTAAAGGGAAGAAAGGTATTCAGAAGCTCTTTGTCCTGGAAAAGCTGGGAAAGTCATCCAACCTGTCATCAGGTAGCTGAAAACGAGAGGAAACACTTTCCGACAGATCACCCTGGAGTCCTCGGTCTGCCCACAGCACATCCACGGTCAGTGCTGTGGAATGGGTGAGAATCCTCTGCAAAATGGGTTGATAATAAGTCATTCTCTTACAGAGCCTGGGGAGGAGCGTACGAAAATGCACACTGGTACCTAAGACACCGTAGGAGCTTAAAAAACTGTAGTTCCGGGCACTGCTTCCCAGCTCCCTGTGGGCGTGTTTGCTGTTTTGTTTTAGCGGTGCTTTTACTTTATTGTATTTCTAATTGTTTATGTTTGTATTTGTTACTCTCTTTCACATATTAGTTTAACTTGTTTGTGCATTTCATTATTAGGCAGTATGTTACCTTTAGTTTCTTCTTTAGCATTTACAAATTCACGTTCTTCTTTGACAATTTCATAATGTATATCATGCATTGTGACTAGCCACCCCCACCCTCTGTTCTCTCCATCCCCGTCAGCATCCCTCACAGTCCCTGTGCTAGAGTCATGACCTCCAGTTTTGTTTAGGGGCACTTTTTTAGTGACTGTCTGTGTGACACTTGGGTGTGAACTATTCATGGGACCCTGGTGAGGTCACCAGTGAGCACACAATGGGAGGCAGTGACTGTTAATCTACCTAGCAAACAGTTGGGCAGTGAAGGTTAGGGTCCCCTGAGCCCCTCTTCCGTTAGGCACCTTTTTACCCCTTCTGAGGGAGGGTTCCTAAAGTCCAGAAGACGCCCAAAGATGCCTCACAAAGCAAACTTGGAAAAGTGGAGTGTGGGTGAAGAGCCATCTCTGTCTGCCAGGATTCCTGGCCCCCGTATAACTCAAACAGGTGTGGGGGTAGAGGGTGGTACCACTTCCCAGCAAGCCATGCTGCCTAACCTAAGCGCCTCAGACCATCTTCAGTGCAAGCAAGTTCATGCCTGAAACTGATCAGTTGTCAGGAACCTGGCACGGTGAGCTTTTGATGGCCACAGCAACAATGAAGAAAATCCTGGGAGAAAGAAACAAGGTAGCAAATGGAAGAGACGCACAGCTGTCTCGGGCCAGTACATTTCAGGGACGTGCTAGGAGAAACTGGCACCTTATCTCCAATAACAGCAGCTGGGCCTTTCGTGAAGCTTTGAGCCTTCAGGGTGCTTGCCCTCACTGTCTTCGGTGAGTTTCCTCCTGAAAAATATTCATGTCTCACCACAGTTATTAAATTGGCTTTCCAATATGAAGAGTGACTGAGTTATGTGAGCTAAGTTGGATTTCACTACTTCCTTCTGGGCAACAGGAAAACAGTTAAGTATGATGGTGTCCTGAGGGTCCCTGCTCAGAAAGAGCCAGCTCCTGCTCTTGGATATCCCAGGTGCGAAGAGTTCAGGGAACATGTCCTTCCCCGTGACTGCAGCTGCCTTTCTTGACTCTTCTTCGACCTTTGTTCCAATAATCTTTTTGAGGGGAGATTCCCTACCCAGATCCCTTGTTGGGACACATCTCCTAATTCAGCTCAGCTTCAGCAAGACGGTGTTCAAGGATCTCCTACCTGTGTGTGGAGTAGGGGTGCTACAGTGCTCTGTCCACCACTTCCGTGTGTGGAGTAGGGGTGCTACAGCCGCTCTGTCCACCACTTCCAGCTCCTGCCACTGGTCCATGCAGAAGCCTTGGGAGGACATTCCACAGATGAAATTTATTTTCTCTCTCTCTCTCTCTCTCTCTCTCTCTCTCTCTCTCTCTCTCTCTCTCTCTCTCTCTCTCTCTCTCACACACACACACACACACACACACACACATATACTAATGACAATGGGAGTATTTGGAGGTGTCTCTTCAATGCACAGAGAACCTGGCTTGGCACTCATGTACAAGTTTGTCATTCGTCATAATAATTTGCTCAGTCAGTCAATTAGTCTCTTTTATTCATTTATATGACAAATATTTGCCAAGCACTCCATTATGTTAGGTACCAAGAATCCAGCTGCCATCAATGCTTTATGCTTGTCCTTAGGGAATACTGGCTCATCCAGTACACAATGTCCCACACCCTTCTCTCATTTAGAGTTTAAAGGTCTATGTGGACATGATGTCATGCTCTCAGAATATAGAACAGGTGACATATGCCTCTATGAAAGCATATAGACAAGTGCATTTACTTCATGCCACTTGCTTTTTCTTCTGGAAGGCATCAAATAGTCACATTTCACAAGTGGAATCATACTCAAGTACTCAAACACAGTCAGGTTTATACCCAATCACCAATCATTTGGTGATTTTTTTTTTTAATTTGGGAAAATGATAGCATGTTAAATTCTTCCAGTGGTTATTAAAATCTGGGCTTTGGGTGATAGAGATACAAAGCACTAAGCATGCTTTCTAACTTAGAAAGGGAATAATTATTGCCGCTATTTGAAATGGGTTAGGCTTGGAGAAAAAAATTCATTCCCCCAGTTTTTCCACTGAGAAGGGCAGGCACAAGACTCAGCTCTGCATCTTTAGCCGAGCACAGCCTCCCCTCACCACTATGGACTGTCTTCCTCCCATATCCTCTCCAACTGGGCAGTCTCCTCACGAGGCCCACTCCAGCCAGAACTTGGCTCCTGCAGTGAGCCCTCTTTCCTTTTTGCATTATCCTGTCCCACTAACATCTACAAATTATAACCATTCCCATTAAAACAAACACACCCCATGCCTATTCTCTCATTCCCCTGTAACACAGACATTTCTTAACCTGCTGTCTGTAATCACCAACTCCAGTGTCTCACCTCTCACCCTCCTGACTCCACTCACACAGCACTGCTGTCTGCTTTCTGCAGACTTGGACTTGGCTTATCCATATTGCACAAGGCAAGGTCCACTTCCCAGTCTTCCTCTCATCACCTCTGATTCCCTCTCTTGCACTGACTCTCATCCCCTGCCCGGCTCAGAACGCCAGAGTTCTCCTCTTTCCTTGTCAATGCCTGTTCTCGGTCCTAGCTGAACCAACACCTTCTTTCTACAGCATCGTTTATACCTTCTCTCTACTATCTTGTCATAGTGCACCCAGGGAGTCTACAAGGACACATACTACTGCTGCTCCTTCTTTTCTATGAAATAAAGCTATGCACAATTTGCAAATACTAAATGGTGCTGTTTCCTTAAATCTAACTCTTAATGCTTCACTCAAATGAATGCTGTCATAGTATTTAACATTAGATTTAGCCTAACTGTTATGAAATTCTCAGGTATGTCATATTGCCTCCACTGCTGTGTGGTGTGAGAGCCAGAGAATTACACCCCCAGTTCTCAGTTTCTTTCTCCAAGCTTTATTTATGGTTGAGGGATCAAATGCAATGGGGGCTCTAGATGGTAGTGAACAAGCATTAATGTTAAGAAAACATTCTTCTTCCTAGTGTGTGCTGTAGTTGGGTATTTTTGTTTTGTTTTGTTTTGTTTTCACTCTTTGGAGGCCCACCACCCAGCTCCCAAATAAATACACAGAGATTTATTCTTACTTATGAATGCCCAGCCTTAGCTTGGCTTGTTTCTAGCCAGCTTTTTTTTTTTTTAAACTTAAATTAACCCAATTCTCTTTAACTACGTTTTGCCTCTGGGCTTTTTACCTTTCTTTATTTTATATATCTTTCTTTCCTTCTTACTCCATGGCTAGCTGTATGGCTGAGTCGGTGGCCCCTGGCATCTTCCTCTCCCTCTCCCTCTCCCTCTCCCTCTCCCCTCACTATTTTCCCTAGATTTCTCCTCCTATTTATTCTTTGCCCTCCAGCCCTGCCTATTCCTCTCTCCCGCCTAGCTTTTGGCTGTTCAGCTCTTTAGTAAACTAATCAGGTGTTTCAGACAGGCAAAGTAACACAGCTTTATGGAGTTAAACAAATGCAACATAAAAGAATGCAACACATCTTTGTATCGTTAAACAAATATTCCACAGCATAAATGAATGTAACACATCTTAAAATAATGTCCACAATAGTGTCACATGTGTGATGTCATTTGTGAAGTAGTCACAACAACATTTCTCATGCTGTAAGTGGTGAAATCAGAGCTTAGAACTGGAAAGTGCCTAATGTCCCTCAAGAAGAGGTGGAGCCAGGATTAGCATCTGCCCCTAGAGTCTGTACTGCTCAGCATTGCTCTGTTGTATGATCAACACTCAGAAAGATCGGTCGCTGTTATTAAGGAATCCATATCTCTGCCCAGTTAGACTTTTGAAAGGAAAATACAGATACATGTTTAAATGACTTGTAACTTAGTCTGTTTTCAGTGATGTTACGTATACTCTCTCTCCTCCAGGACATGGTAACTCGGGCCTCCCCATACCTGTTTGAAGCTACAGGGAAAAGATTTTATTTCAAAAATGTTGCCATTTTGATTCCTGAAAACTGGAAGACAAAACCTGATTATGAGAGGCCCAAACTCGAAACCTTCAAAAATGTGAGAACAAATTCTTTTTGACATCTTTTTCTTGAAATTTAGTTTTTATTTCTGTTCATTTGTTTATTTGAGGCAAAATAGTATAGAATGAAATGGAATTGCGCCAAAATCCCCCACCTGTGAGTAAGGTCAACTTGTTTGCTGAAATGGTGTGATCGTCTTTTCTTATCTTTCAGGCTGATATCCTGGTGTCGGCAACTAGCCCTGTAGGTGAAGACCAGCCGCACACTGAGCATGTAGGCGCATGCGGAGAAAAGGGAATCAGGATCCACCTGACGCCTGACTTCTTAGCAGGAAAGAAGCTGAAAGAGTATGGACCACAAGGTATGGACGCAGCTAAAGCATTTCAGCAAGTAACATAACACAGCAATTGTGTATTAACTACTGTATTCCCTTTCTGAGTAAGCCTACAGGTGACAAGGAAACCGGAAATAAAGCCAGTGAAGCATGCCTTTTCATTTAGAACAAGGAGTCAGAGCCATGTATTTCTGAGCTATAACTTAACATCGGTTTGTGAACTTGCATATGTGTGACATTTTACTATAGTGGCTGGTTATTTCAGTGACATGGCATGAAGCGTTAGACTTCTGTGGATCTATGAGCTTTACTCGAGTGAACAAAAATCTCCTTCCTGCAGTTCATAAGATAGCCACCAGATGGTGATAGTGCGCTCAGGCTCTGATTTGAGTTTCAGATTCAGCAGAATTCAATTCTTGATTCTGTAGGATTCAGGAGAGGTTCACACTCCAATTTTTTAACAAGCTTTCAGGTAGTGCTGCATGGGGTACCACTCTCTAGGTAGCAGACAGAATCGTCCTGCGTCATCTCTCAAAAGCCTCTCTCTCTCTCTCTCTCTCTCTCTCTCTCTCTCTCTCTCTCTCTCTCTCTCTCTCTCTCTCTCTCCTCCTTCCCTCCCTCCCTCCCTCCCTCTCTTTCTCCCTCCCTTCCCACCTCTGTGTGTGTGTGTGTGTGTTGCATACCAATTACCCCAGGACAACTGAAGCAGAAGGATCCTGAGTATGAGTCAGTCTTGACTACACAGGGAGACCCTTAAACAAAAGGACCAACCAAAGAAAAAGTTCAATCCTTATAAAAATACACTGTATTATGTCAATATGAGCTATACAGAGCAATCTTTGAAGGAAATATTCAAAGTACATACATGAGCTTTATGCATATACACAAATGTGGCTAGTTATTGAATAACTAGTGTTGTTGAATAACTAGCATTGGAAAACTGATATCTAAAAAAGACTAGACTCCTCACAATCAGGTTGGTTTTCTTAACTTAGGCAAGGCAGAGGACAAGGGCAGGCCATGGTGCTGCCTGCCTCAGCCCCACATATTACACACTGATCAGAAGGGTCTGAACCTTGCACCTTTGTTTTATACTATTCCATCTCATTTCCATAACCGGAACAGAAGATTCCTGACCTATGACCCAATAAGTATGTGTTGAATTTAATTGGTCTAACTATGCTTTTCCTGTCCCGAGCTCATACTAACTGCCACAGCTGGGTATCACACCATTCCTTTAGATAAATTCTTTATATACCATGACCCCAGTCCTTTGCCCTCAAAATCTTCTGCTGCCTTGACAAACAGTTATTTCTTTTCTAGAACTTGAAAGCAGAGCCTAGATTGGAGTTCTTCAGCATGGCCCTCTTACCTAGCTCTCCAAACTCAGCCCACCTGGAACTATAATTCAGAAACATTAAGATACACATAAGTCACTAGGAGTAATCCAAATATAACAGATACTTAATGGATGCCAAATAATCTCTAGATATGATGTGCCCAGATACAACAGGAGAAAAATAATATTGCCTATCTTCATGGAGATAAGCTACGATGACAGAATAAGATGCTAAGTGCCATAATGAGATATGCTCAAACTACAAAAGAGGAGTGTCTGGTCTGCTCTGAGCATGTTAGGGTGGCAGTTGGCTAGATCAGGGCTTGATTTTTTTTCTTAATGCTTTGGAGACAGAATCTCAAAAATATTGCCAAGGCTAGCCTTGAACTAATGATCCTTCTGCTTCAGCCTCTCGAACAGCTAGGGTTATAGGCGCTGGCCACCACTCCTAGGTGGAAGCTTGGTTTTGAGAGAAGAGTGGTAATTACCACTGCAGAGACAGTGAGCGATGCCAACCAAAGAAAGCAAGTGTCAAAGGAACCAGAGGTGAACAAGAGGATGATGTGTGCTAGAGCAAAATACTCAGAAATGAGCTGGGATTAAAGAGCACAGAGGGGAACAGCAGGAAAAAGCTGCTAAGGACTTAACTCTTGTACTGCAAGGCATTTCCACACATACTGTGTGATGAGGCAGCTGCCTGACCAGTGTAGATAACCTCCCGCTCTCATTCATCACCCCATGAACACACAACAAGCCAAAATAAACGTGTGTATTATACATAACTGTACACTTGTCATATTAGGTCATGATAAGGAAAGCAAGCTCCCAATTTTTTAATTTAGAAATAAATAATAAAGCCAAGCAAAACAAGCATTTAGAAGAATTATTTTCTAGTGTGAGGTTATTTTACCACATTTTTTATCTTCAGCTGTTTGACTTTTTTTCTCACAGAGAAGGCCTTTGTCCATGAGTGGGCTCATTTCCAGTGGGGAGTGTTTGATGAATACAACAATGAGGAGAAATTCTACGTATCCAAAGGAAGAATAGAAGCAGTAAGGTGTGTACATTTTGACTTCGCTTTACCAAAATAATTTTACCGTGCAACCAATTTTTCCTTGAATTACTTTTAAAATTCCAGTTTTCTGTCTTATATCAAGTGGTCCTGCTAACTGAGTTCCTACTTTGCGAATCGTGGTGGTGTGCAGAGGCACAAGCAGGTGCCTCTGCTTGTGATCTCTGTCACACAGACCATATCCAGAGTCACTGTGCTGTCATGACCACAGGTCGGTTTGACTATTCAAATCTCAGCCAGTGGGCACCATGGTCTGTTTGTCCCACTTCTCCTTTCTAAGCTTCCACACCATTAGCTACAGCGTCCTCCCTTAAGAGCAAGGCTGATTTGTTGCACATAGCTTTTTGATATCTAGAAATATCTATCAACTTATTCACCCTTCCATAGCTACTGAGCACATCAGCCTACATGACTGCCTTGCCCTCTTAAAAAAAAAAAAGAAGCCGGGCGGTGGTGGCGCACGCCTTTAATCCCAGCACTCGGGAGGCAGAGCCAGGCGTATCTCTGTGAGTTCGAGGCCAGCCTGGGCTACCAAGTGAGTTTCAGGAGAGGCGCAAAGCTACACAGAGAAACCCTGTCTCGAAAAACCAAAAAAAAAAAGAAAAAGAAAAAAAGAAAAGAAAAAAAATTTGTCAAGTCAAGCATGGTAGGTCACCCCTTTAATCCCAGTGTTCGGGAGACAGAGGCAAGTGGATCTCTATGATTTCGAGGCCATTCTGATCTACAAAATGATTTCCAGGACAGCTAGGGATGTCATACAGAGAAACCCAGTCTTGAAAAACAAACCTTTATTTAAACATATTAATAATATTCATTGTCCCTTGTCTTCCAAACAAACTTTTAAGGTATATGTAGGCCCAGAAGTAATCAAAACATGATAGCTGTCCAGAAGTTACTCTTCTCATATATTATAGAGTATCTATGCAATCCAACAGACCATACCTTATTTAATAGAGAAATGGTAGGGACAGCCTCAGCAAGAAGACAAGGGTGGCCTCTATGATCACAGTTGTCTCAATTTCTTCAGGAAGTTGTATCCAATTCAATAGCACACAAAACTGAGGCAGTACACAGCAAGGTTGCTGGGGGGGGAAGAGAGAAAATGGCACTTGCACAAATGAATGTGGCACCTAGAAAACCCAAGGTAGTAAAGTGAAGTTCAGATCGTCAAGGGAAGTCAACAGAGGGACATGATACAAAAGGGTCATTCCACGTGGTTTCCATACATTAGCAATAACTCATCCCGAAATACAGTGGAAAATACTCGACTGAAAATTCAATGGAGAACACAGTAAGAAATGGTAAAGATAAACCTGGAGAAAACTACAAAATGACTTTGAAAGGCTTAAAGAAAACAAAGGCAGGGAGGATGTCAATCCATGAAGTGTATAAAGTCAACAAAAGTTGGTTTATGAATTCTATGAAATTCTAGTAAAAAATGCATTTGTATCTTATTCAAAGACCCCAGCATTCATTCATCGAGATTATTTCTGGAAAAGGGTCATAATAAAATGGACTTTTACTTGTCAGTTTTTAAAAATATTTCAAAACTGAATTAAATAAAAAATTGTCTATTGACAATAATTTACACACACAGTAATTTAACAGAATTTGAATAAGGTCTATGAGGAGAGGTGAGATTTCTTAAGATATAAAGAAAAATTTTAACTATGGGAAAAAATAATAGAATCTGTTACAATTGGATAAACTTATCATAAAAAAACACAATGCAACTTATACATATCTATGTACTGAAGTCTATGCATGTAAATTATTAATATTAATACATCTCAAATTAATAAATATTAATATCAAATCTACATGCAGTGAAAAATCTTTCTATGTGTTCAGATCTCTATGTAGTGAAAGTTTTTCTGTGCATTTAAGAATTAAAATAATAGATGATTGCAGTGGCACGTGTATAATTTCAGCACTCAGGAGGCTGAGGCACAAAAAGGATGTGAAGTCAAGGCTAGCCTGGGCTACATAGCAAAGCCCTGTCTCAAAAACAAAACTAGAGAAAGGCATAATTAAAAGAAAAAGGGAAAAAAATGTGACTACCCATAAATTAAGAATTTTGTTTTACATTAACTAAATAGAGTACAAGGGAAAACAGAAAACAACATATGCTCACAAAAACAAAGCAAGTCAAGCCTTTAGCATCATAGGACTCACTGTGGTACCTTCAAAGCCAGTCATGATGGCAGACACCTGTAACCACAGCATGCTGGAGGTGGAAGCAGGAGGGTGAGAGGTCAACGCCATTGCCAACCACGGAACCAGGTTGAGGCAAGGCTGGGATGCAAGAGTCTTTGAGAGGAAGGGAAAAAAACTAAAAACAAAGACAAAGAAAATTGAAAATAAATGAACCACTAATAGAAAATTATACAAAGAATATCTGATTCATAAAGTAAGAAATAAAAATAACTAATAAACATACAAAGTGATCATACTTACTAGAAACTGAGAGATTCACGTTAGACGGAGATGAGGTCATCTCTGCTTTGCAGGTTATCTCATGCAGTTGACAGCTCCCAGGCATGGAGTCCAGAGTCAGAAATCAAAGCAACTTCCCCAGAAGATGACAATTATCAAAGCTCTCATTTTTTTCCTGTTTCTTGAGCAACTAATTTCATGTTTAAAAAAACATTTTAAGTAAATGATAGACAAACCATATCAAGAGATTTTTAGGATAAGGTCAAAATTTTATGTGAAATTTGATGTTTACACACGTTTTATTTTGGGTATTTAAAAGTTAACAGAAAAAGTAAATTTAGTAAGTTAGGGTGAGTTCATATAATGTCAAAAGATAAAAATAATTAAAACCACGTTGTGTAAGAATACACTACATATCTATATATTAAGATTTTAAATATGCCAGCTCAATAATATTTTAATTAGAAAACAAAACACTGTTATGCTGACACACAGAAAATCTTCCAACAAGTCAGCAGTCATTTATTTCTGATGGTGAAACATGTTTTTCCCTTCTCTTTATAGTTTTTATGAGTTCTCAAATATTCTTTTACACTTTTATTATTTATATACTCAAATCTGTAATTTAAAAATGAAGCATGGGAAAAGTATTCCATTTATAACAAACTCCATAAACATATAATATAAAAAATTAATTGTCAATGAACATACAATCACTGTACAAAAACTGTTTGGAATAAAGAATCAGGACAAGTAGGTAAACACAGGGAAGAAGATATCAGCAAGTCCTGGGGGGAAGCTAAGCAGACTCTTGATTTTCTAGAATGAGGAGACTGGATTGGAGGAGCCTGAGGACTTTGATCCTAACTGGGCTATTATGGTACTATTTATGAAGCCCCTCTGGTACTTTCTAGCCACATAAATGACTGGTATAAACTTAGTGCTTTTGTTTTACGAAGATATGTAATTTCTTCTTGGTTCAATGAAAAAAATCATACAAATTTCAGGTGAGTTATGGATTCACTGCCTAAACATTTAATCTTAATCTGTTTTCAGATGTTCAGCAGCTATTTCCGGGAAAAATGTAGTTCGTTGGTGCCAGGGAGGCAGTTGTGTCGATAAAGGAAGCTGCAGAAAGGACCCACTAACAGGACTGTATAAAAAAGATTGTGTGTTCATACCAGATAAGCAACAAAGTGAGAAGGCGTCCATAATGTATGATCAAACCATTGACTCTGTAAGTGCCTTATTCTTTTCCCCGGTGCTTGTATGAATTTAGTGACGTCAGTTTGGTTTTGGTTTTGCCCAAGTGCTCCAGGGGAGGATCCAGTTTTAGAGATACTAGCAGCTTTAGGGGGAAATCAGCAGTTGGTTCTCTTTGGGATAATCTCGGTTGCAGAAAACAAACATACAGAACTCTTGCTGAGTGTCCCCCAGGGCCAAGTCTTGAGGAAGAAGAATTAATGTGACATTGTCTGTTGGGTTTATAGCCCGAATGTCCAGTTGGATGGCAAAGGAGTCTGTTGACATTTGTCCATTGCACTCTAAGACCAGGGAGGACTGAATGGATGGACGTTCTCCAGGAGGCTAGAAGATGAGGAAAACATCTGGGGAGTGAATGAAGGCAGGGATACAAAGCAGGTGATGGGGAAGGATCCCCCTGGTAAAGAATCAGGAGCAAAGGGATAGGGTGAAGAAGCTTGGGAAGCCTGAGGACTACAGGATAGAGCAGAAGAAACTAAAGACTTAGACTCCACAGCCCGAAGGAAGGAGAGGAGTGAAGGGGAAATCGACCCTTGTGACTGCTGTTTGCTATGAGAAGCTTGTAGGGTGTGAGTAATCATGAACTACACAAAGGGTCTTATAGGGCTACAGAGACACAGCTCAGCTGGTAAATTGTCTGCTGATCAAGTGCAGAGACCTGAGTTCAGATCCCCAGAACCTATGGAAAAGCTAAGGGTGCCAGCGCTGAGAGATGGAGATAGGTAGATGGCTGAAGGTCATTGCCTGCCAATTTCATCAAATAGATGGATTTCAGATTCACGGGGAAATCCTGTCTCAAAAAACTGAGTGTGGAAGGTGACTGAGGAAAGACACCTAACATTGACCTCAGGCCTCCACGTGAACACACTTGCATGTGCACCCACACACATATCTGTACACACAACACACATAGGACACCACATACAATTTAAATATAAAAGTCTTATTAGAGTAAAAGGGAAGAGTTCTTAACCACTGTGGGTTGAAGAAATTGGAGAAATAGCAAGGTGGAAAGCCTGGTTAGTCATGTTCACAGTGTGAAGGAAGGACCGTGAGGACTCGGATGAAGGAGATTTCACTGAATCGAGGTGAGGGGGTGGATTATGAACTATAAGTAGGAAGAAATGTCTAGCTCTTGGTTGTTTTGTTGAGGGAGGAGAGCAGAAACTTCCTGATGTCTTGAACTGGGTGGCAGGGTTCGTAGTGCTGACGTCGAGTATGGAAATGTGTGAAGGGGATGAGGAAGCACCAGAGGAAAGTGATGAGGTCATTATGAAGATGTGGAGTTTGAGAAAAAAGATTTCCAGGTAGATTTTAGAGAGAGCTGGAATGATGCATGTTCGAGGTTGAATGCAGCATGTTGATTAATGGGGTTCAGGAAGTAATGAAATGGAGTCTGGTAGTCTGAAGATGGAGAGACAAGATTGGACAGAGAGGAATACTGAAGAGTGTGGTGTGAAGGATGATGTCTTGGGTAGAAAATCTGAAGAGTAAAGGAAACCACCTTAGAGCAGTTGGGTTGTTCACTGAGATCCAATGAGGCTGAAGACACGGACAGAAACCCGACTTCAGACTGATTTTCCCCAGAAGTGCCATGTACCATTGTGACACGGAGCCATGGTTATAAGCTAGCAGAGGAGCCTGAGGGTGGGGACATAAGGGGGTTGTTTTGTTAGTTATTTTAACAAGTATATGACTGTTATATGCATCATTATATTGGCAATTTCAGGTGGTTGAGTTCTGTACAGAAAAAAATCACAATAAGGAAGCTCCAAATGCCCAAAACCAACGATGCAACCTCCGCAGCACATGGGAAGTCATCCAGGAGTCTGAGGACTTTCAACAAGCCACTCCCATGACGACTCAGCCGCCCACACCCACCTTCTCATTGCTGCAGATTGGACAGAGAATTCTGTGTTTAGTTCTTGATAAGTCTGGGAGCATGACGGTACGTTCACCGAGCCTACATTTTTGGGATGTGGATCATAGGTGTGTGTACATGTATGATACAATCTGGCCCACAATTTGGACTTGGTGGAGAATAAACACAACGGGAGGGTCCAAACCCAGCAATAGCTTTGTCATCAGAAATGCTCATCTTGGACTGGAACTAGAGCTCAGCTGATGAAGTGCTTGCCTTGAAAGCACAAGGACATGAGTTCAAGGCCCCAACTCCCTTAGAATCCCAGCACCGGGTAGGTAGAAACAGACAAATGCCTGTGGACCTGTGATCAGTGAGCTCCAGGTGGTGAGAAGCACACACACACACACACACACACACACACACACACACACACACACACACACACACACACACAGAGAGAGAGAGAGAGAGAGACAGAGAGACAGAGAGAGAGAGAGAGAGAGAGAGAGAGAGAGAGAGAGAGAGCTCACATTGCCTCATTCCACAGACCAAGTATCAACTGTCTCTTCTGTCAAATTAAACTAATGTCAACCTATAAGCAAAGATCTGATTAATAAGCTTAATATTGTTCATATTTTGTTAACACACATAGGTCTAGAGTTCCATATAAGCCTTATTTAGACCTATTACTAATGCATTGTATTCCAATGATTGCCTAATATAGCTTTTTGTCTTTTGCTATTTATGCGAAAACTCTAAAATTTTACCCAAAGTGGACGGCAGGTACGAATGGAAAAGAGGCCATCCAGCTTGATTACACACCAGCTTGGGGCAGTCGCTTCCAAATATCTGTTAGCCTGGTCTGTTGTCCGTCTGTTCATTTAAGGGTCAACTTGACCCTTTTTATTTGCTTGCCCTTGCAGAACGATGGCCGTCTTAACCGAATGAATCAGGCAAGCAAGCTTTTCCTGCTGCAGACCGTGGAGCAGGGGTCCTGGGTCGGGATGGTGACATTTGACAGTGCTGCCTACGTACAAAGTGAACTCAAGCAGATCAACAGTGCTACTGACAGGGACCTGCTGGCAAAAAGTTTACCCACGATATCTTCAGGAGGGACGTCTATATGCTCTGGGCTTCAAACAGCATTTACAGTAAGGCGTGTTCCTTCTGTAATAGTTTGCAACTGTTTGTGATTTTTGCTCCTATGAAATTTTTATGTCTAGTGTTTTCATTCATGGCTGGTGTCAAACTGAGTTCTGTGAGTAAGGACAAAGCGGTGGTCAAGGGGTACAAAGATACTGGCCTCCAGAGTTATCACTAATTCACTTCTTCATGCTTCTGTCTTTTTCTGCACCTAGGCATTCAGGCTTTTCTGTGTGCATGCCTGCAGTATGTCTCATGTGCCTCCTCCATCAGCTCCACTGGGTTACGCATTCTCAGACGCTATGGCAGAATCACCTGTTCTTACCTGATGGTTCAACTCAGTTACCATTGTCCCCCATTGGGAAACATGGAAACTCCAACCTACTCCACGGCACACAGTAATGAGAAATTAGACAAAGGGATCCAAACTGGGCCATAGATCTTATTTCCTAGTACCAGAAGCACTTTGGTCAGACTAAGGTTATGACCACCGCTCTGAGATCCCTAGGCACTGGCTCTTTCCCATGTCCACAGTCTCAGCCCTTCATATATCATCAAGGTCACCTTGTGTAGTGGCCTCCTGTCAGCACAAATAGAGAATGCAGTGGGGACAAGTCCCCTGTCCTGTGCCTTCCCCTCCAGCCTTCTGGCCACACAATCTCATTCTGAATTCTTCATCCAGATAATGGGGGCTGCAAAACTTGATCTTGACTGTTTGCCCTGTGTTTTGGTCTCTTTCCATCATTTCAGTGGTGTGTAGAATCTGGTCTTCTTGAATAGATCACATGTGCCTTTATTTAATTTTCTTTCCATCATAATCTTATTTAACATTGGCAGATGGACTGTCCTCTATAACCTATTAAAAGTATATCTAGGTACACAACTATAGGAAGCACTTTGGAGATTGGGAGTGGGAGGGTCAAAGGTCAAGGTCATCCTTGTCTATATAGAGAGCTTGATACCTGTGTAGGCTACATGAGACCCTGTTTCAAAAATCAAACAACAAAAGCTGTGTGTGTTGAGGGTGGGGTGGGACAAAGTGTCGCTTTAATCAGAAGAAGTATTAAAAGGCAACTACCTCTGTGATCTGGGTAACACTGTCCAGTCAGAATCTATGACACCAGCATTCAGTCGATCTTGTCAGACAGTACAAAGCTAAAGCTACAATCTCTTCTGGGTCCACTGTCCCTCAACTCATTCCTTATGCTTTCTGGGGGTATCTTGGAACCTCTCGAAGCTTCTTGGGAAGGGACCAAATGAAGGAAATTCAAAAGCCCTATACCCTTTCCCAGAACCGCCTGTCTTTTGGACCACCCTGCATTGTCCAGCATCCCTTCTGGGCAGGCTAACAGGAAACAGTCACTGTTGAGTTCCATGATGGTGAAGTGCTACAGGAGTGTCACTGTGAGACAGATGCTCCTCCAACATTCCCAACATACACTTGTTCCCTCTGCAATTGCTCCTTCTTGCCCATGTAGATGCAGTTTCCACAAACACCCTACCCACCCCAAGACTGATTCCCACTCTTAATCGTATCTTAAAAGGTGATTAAGAAGAAATATCCAACTGATGGATCTGAAATTGTGCTGCTCACTGATGGGGAGGACAGCACCATCAGCACCTGCTTTGACCTAGTGAAGAAGAGTGGGGCCATCATCCACACAGTAGCTCTGGGACCGGCTGCTGCTAAAGAGCTTGAGCAGCTTTCCACAATGACAGGTGAAGGAAGATCTGCAGAGACCCACCACTGTTTCTACCAATGGTCCCCAAATTCCAGTGACCTGAGCAGTCAGGAAAAGTGAGACAAGGAAGGATGGGTAATCTCAGCCAATAACTATGCTTCTCCCAAATGACCATTAGAACTGACCACCCATTCTCACTAAGGTCTTGGCTCCAGACCAAACTGCAGAAAGTCTAACTGTGCTACACCCTAGCGACAACTTGGGAGCCCTTCCTGGATACCTTATAAGTATTTAACTACCTGAGAAAGCCAGGAAAGAGAAGGAGGAGAGAGAGGAAGAGCCTAGTGAACAAAGCATAAGGCTAGTTCAGTCATGCAGTGCACAGGCAGTTTGTCCACAAAAGAACAGTATGTCGCAGACAGGTCTCATCTGGCCCTGGCTTCTTTAGCAGAAAGGGTGATTATTTTCTCTTATTTAGGGATAGTATTAGAAATATAAATTATTACTGTTGGAGCCTAATATATCTGCCCATGTTGTCTAGAAGCAGGGCCTGAGATGGAAAATTTGATACATGTGATTATAGAAGAAGAGTTCTCAAAAGAAAAGAAATGGAGGACAGACAGAGCTGGAAACAGCAAAGGATGGAAACAGATCTACACTCTAATTAATCTCACTCTAGTTAAGAGGCCTCTAGACTAGAAACACAAGAGACAGGAGGACTCCCCTTTGCATTGCTGCATCAATCAGTCAATGTGCATTTATTGTTAGAGCAGATCAGACATAAAAATTCTTTTTCTGTGTAGGATGGTCCTGGTGTAAAGCAATCCTCTGGAGAATGAGGTAACCATTGGTCACTAGCAGCCAACCATTGGAGCAAGGAAAACTTGCACTCACCTGGAAAAAGACACAGGAGGGACATCAGAAGCACTATAAAACACTGTCCCTGACTTTGGAGGCTATTTAATAGTTTTCAAGTGACTACTCAAGATGGCTCCATGGGCAAAGGTGCTTGCTGCCAAGCTCATAACCCGAGTTCAGTCCCTGGAACCCATGCTGTGTAAAGAGAGAGCCAACTGCTACAAGCCATCTTCTGACCTTCACACACGCAAGGACACATGCACACACAAATACATAAATATAAGAAATAGGAGAGACTTCCCATCCTCTTCTTTAGTTATACTTATTCTCCATACCCAAGCTTCAGACCTGGTATATTAATCTTTCTTTTACTACACATCCCAACTTTCTGTAACAGATCCTTTGCTCAATATTATTTCCTAATGTATTGTCACACATGCATCTTTTTTGATTTGACATACAAGTTTAAAACCCAGTTTGTTAGAATTGCATTTAAATAATAGGAAGCCAATCAGAGTGGACTATGTTTAATAGACTCTGTCATGTGGAAGCACATGACCTTTAAAATGTAGATACTCTTGGAGATTTGTGCAGATAATTGAAGCAACGTCATGACGGGTGTTTCTGAAGCTATTCATTACTAGGATTGAAAAGTCAGTATCAGTGGGGCATGGTGGTATAAACCTATAATCTCAGTGGTTGAGAGGTAGAGGTAAGAGAAGCTAGAGCTAGAGTAAAGGTCATTCTTAGATAAATAGTGAGCTTGAAGCTAATTTGAGCTACAGCAGACTATGTCTCAAATATATATATATATATTTATATATATCTATCAGTATCAACTTCTGAGTTAATATGCACATATATTTGACATTGATCGGTATTATCTATCCTGCTATTTTAGCTGTGGCTACTTGCTTCCTGGAAAATAACTTCTGATATCATAATTGCATTTTAGGAGGTTTGCAGACATATGCTTCTGATCAAGCTCAGAACAATGGTCTTGTTGATGCTTTCGCAGCCCTTTCATCAGGAAATGGAGCTGTCTCTCAGCGCTCCATCCAGGTTGGAGTTCTTACTGTTTGGCTTCTCATGTCTACTTATACTCACAGACTAGATGCTTCGAGTTCTACACTCCTTTGTGTATTAATCAAAAGTCAGAGTCTTCAGCATGACATCAAACATTATTCTCCAAATGCAACCTTCCTTATTTAAATGAGGCAGTTGGCATTGACTTATTTTGTAAGAAAATGAAATGACTTATATAAAGTGTCCAATAATTGCTCATAAGCATTTGCTAACAAGCACTGATCATAATAGGATTGGCTTGTATTGTCTTCAGAACAGATCATCTATACATTTTCAAGGACAAGTGTTCAGACATGATTTGCCCTATTTTTCCATTGCTCGAGTCCCTATGATTTGCCATGACTTTTCTGTAGCAAAGAGGCAGCACTTTGCACTACAGAAACCCCGTGTAGTCCGTTCAGACTCCTAAATCTTCATCCTGGGTCTTCCATTTACTGACTTTGAGTGAAGAACCTTACCTCTGAGTCTGGAGCAGAAAGCTTCTCTGGGCTTGTCTGGTTCTAAAATGCTGAGAAGCTCAAAGTATCTTTCAAATATCTTGGGACTATCTCTGAGAAGGACAAATGGATTGCAAAGTGCTCTATTAGAGTAACTGCAGAAACTGCATGTGGAATTTTCAACTAGAGAGAATAAACAACCAGCCCAGTGTGAATCCAAACATTCACAATCCAAGTTTGAGTAAACACGAAGGAACAGTGGCACATTAAACCTGGATGAGAGATTCAGAACAATAGGATTTGGGGTCGACTGATGTGCTGTGTTTCCAATCTAGGGAGACAGCAATGGCTCCTATGTTGGTTTCCTGCAGGAAACTTAAAAATAAACTCAAGGGTCATCTTTTGCAAAGAAAGGAATGTGCCCCAGAAAAGGAATTCAGCAGCTTAGAAACTCCCAGTCACATTTATGATTATTATTTTTTTTTTTAATTTAAGAAACTAACAGGGAGGGAAATGGAAAGGTGAGCTGGATTCGTTTCCTAGCCTACCATGAGAACAAGAGTCCTGTACATCCAGACTCACTTGTTATCTACCCATAATGGCTACCAAATGGCTCCCTGGCCATTACCTCTTCTAGTAGGTGTCAATTTAGAGATAATGAATTACTACAGAAGAGACAATTCTCAAATCACATTTTCTACAGAAGCATTGTTACCTTTTTCCCACTCCAGTCCCTACTCTGCAAGAACCCCATTCTATGCCAAACAGCAATCACCTGGTTCGCTGCTTTATTTCAGACACCTTCATAAGGACTGCCATGATGCTTAACTCCATAATTTGTCATTTTAGTTTATATCATCTATCCATGGGTAAGAAATGAGTACAGCCAGTCCCCCTCGGGTTTAGTGTAGTAAGAGATGGGATGTTTACACTCGTAAAGCAGAATGTGATGGGCACCAAAGGACAGCCAGGGAGAAAACTGCATCGAAGCTCATAGGAAAGAGGTGACTCCTGTGTCCTAAGAGACAGACATCAGTGAAAGCTTCATGAAGAAGGCAACATTTGTACCAAATTCTGGAGGAGCAGTAAGACTCAGGCAAGCAGAGAAAAAGTGATGATGTCTAGGAGAAGCAGAGAGTGTGAAGTTTGGGATTCATAAATCCTTAGAAGGAGGTGGTCTTTTTGTTGGAGAAAAAAATACCATGGAAACTTGAAGCTGGAATAGTAACGTATAACTGAATCCTAAATGACCCTAAATATCAAGCAAAGGACTCAAGAACACATGCAGGCCTTTTCATTGGCTCCTGGCGGTCAGGACCTGGTGCTGAGACTGTGAGCTTTAGGCTGGAATGTCCAGGAAGTAAAGCGTTTGTCTTCTCAACAGCTGGAGAGCAGGGGAGTAAACCTCGAGAAGAACCAGTGGATGAACGGCTCAGTGATCGTGGACAGCACAGTGGGGAAGGACACGTTATTTCTTGTCACCTGGACAACACAGGCTCCTCAAATTCTTCTCTGGGATCCCAGTGGAACAAAACAAGGTGGTTTTGTCATAGACACAACCACCAAGATGGCCTACTTCCAAGTCCCAGGCACTGCCAAGGTATGGTGTCAGCTACAGTCAGCTTCCTTGCAGACCAGACAAAATTTTTTTTTTTACAAATGACTGTAGATTTTTTAAGAGGGTTGAGTATTGACTTCAGATGAAAACTCTTCGTTCATTGAAGTCAGTCTGCCACTTACGTCAAGAGAGAGGAAATGGGTAATTTTATGTCCCCAAATAAAAGGGAAACAATTGAACTTCATAGCAGTCAGGATGACAAATGATCCTCGATGCTCTGGGATTATGAAAATTATTTTCTATCCTTCAGAAACCCATGCCTTGAAAACTCCAGGTAGTGATCAGTGAGGACACAGGTTTTGGGCCTCATTATCCCTATCTAGCTTTGTCTTGACAGTGGGAGGCATGTAGTTAGTCCAAACACATTCAAGTTTGCCTTGACTGACAGAGTCCCAAGGACACCCACATCTTTTCAGATGTGCTCACAACACACTGTGATCACATAGGCGTTTGTTGTAAGTCTTTGTTACTCACTGGGAGTATCTGCATCTGTTTTGGTCAGGTTGGCTCTTGGAAATACAGCCTGCAAGCGAGCTCACAAACTCTCACTCTGACTGTCACCTCCCGTGCAGCAAGTGCGACACTGCCTCCAATTACAGTGACCCCAATAGTGAATAAGAACACAGGAAAGTTCCCCAGCCCTGTAAGAGTGTATGCAACTATTCGCCAAGGAGCCTCACCCATTCTCAGGGCTAGTGTCACAGCCTTGATTGAATCTGTGAATGGAAAAACAGAGACCCTGGAATTACTGGATAATGGAGCAGGTAACCATTGAAGAAACTGGAAATTAGTCTTCTACTAAGACACCACTGTGGAATAGCTAATGGGCATGGTCTGGTGAGAACAGTTGGTAGTAGGGAACCTGGTGCTGGGGGCTGGCTAAAGAGCTCTCAGCATCCTCATACATGTTTGAAAACATTGGGGAACATGAGGAGAGGTCCAGTCTTAGCCTCTACAAAGCCAAAGTACATTGACAGTTTGAATTCAATAGGATTGGAGATTGCACAGAACTGTCTGCCTTCCAAACTAAGGAAAGGGAATAACAGCCATTTTCTGTCAAGTCCATTGCCTCCTCAATATGTATGCACATATAAACATATATATCTTCATTTTTATGTTCACCACACACTTTTTAGGTGTTATTCTCCCTCCATTACTGGTGAAGAAATACTGTCACATTTTAACAACCGAGATAAATTCCAGCACAGATCTAGATGATTAATATATCCATGTGAACTTTAGGTTAGGTTCAATCCCCAAGTGAGAAACTCTGCCCATTTTTCTTGCATTTAAGAAATCTATAAGGAAGAAATACAATTCTGTATTTCTTTTTTAGAAGATGTCTGTTTACTGTGACAGGAGTATCTTTATTAGAATGAATTTTGTAAATGAATTCCCTGGGGAGAAATTGTTTTTCTTCTCCAATCATGTACATACAGCAATCTGATTTGACTTGACAGATAATTAGTGAGTTGATAGTTCAAGCTATCAGTCATGACAGAGAGGTATGAAATGACAGTTCAGTGTGAGAAGATTTACACATAAGTATATATACATGTGCACACACAGTGTAAAGAAGCATAAGGCCTCATTCTGTACATAATCAAGCCTTATAGTCCCTTGTAAATAATGCTCAATTTCTCTGTTTGCAAAATGTTAACCCACATATGGATTGAAAATACAGGTGTCAAGTTGCCTTTATGGTATTCATGAATTCCTTCATCTCCTTGTCAAGGTGCTGATGCTACCAAGAATGACGGTGTCTACTCAAGGTTTTTTACCGCTTTTGATACAAATGGTAGATACAGCATAAAAATATGGGCTCTGGGAGGAGTTACTGCAGACAAACAGAGAATGTTACCTCAGAAGAATGGAGCCATGTACATAGATGGTTGGATTGAAGATGGTAAGTGATCTGGAGACTTGACTGAAAGACTTAGGTCTAGAAGAATCATTAAGCCTGTGAGGAAAAATAATACAAGACACCTATTGATTTCTGAGTCTCACCTCTATCTTATTGGTGTTTGGGGCTGGGTGATCCTTTGTGTTGAGTACACTCTTACATTTTGAAAGATTCTGCTGCATCACTGGAATCAGTCAATCTACTAGATACCAGTAACAGCCTCACCCCCAAGTTACTACATTCAAAAATGTCCCTAGTCATCTTCCATTGTCCTGTAAGAGGGCAAAATCCCCCCCCATTTGATAACCAATTACGCAGATCATAGCTTTTTACCACTTTGGTTCCAAATCACAGCATCTACAAAATAAAATATAATATCTCTATGTGCTTTACTTTCTTCCACCGCAAAATAGACTCTTAGAGGGAAGCCCCCGAGCCCACAGGTAGTCAAATAGGAAAAACAAATCTTTAAGAAATAAGACCATTCACACCACTCTGGGTTTAAAACACCTGCTCAAGATCAGAGTGTATTAAGAGCAAAAGAGTCTAGGACTTGCCTTACAAATTAAAACCAACAACAAAAAATGTTTTAAATAAGTGGAATTTATGAAAAAGTAAATTCTGAATAATCCCATATTCTGGATGGAATACCTTTACTGAACATGAGTTCTTAGAGCTTAATTGACTTCACAAACCATAGCAGTTTTGAGGCATAGAATTAGTTTTATATAAGAATATAAAGCAAATTCTATAATTCCTACATGAATAAATCCCCAGGTATTGATTGAGACAATTGAGCTGAATGTGGGTGGCATATATCTGCAATGTTAGCACTCTAGAAATGGAGGCAGGAAGATCATTGAGTTTGAAACCAACCGGGGCTACATGTAAAGCACTGTCTCAAAATAAAAAGAGAGAAAAAGTACAAGATTCTTTTAAAAGCATAAAGTTTTGGAACCCTTAACATAAATTATTTCAATGAGAAATTGTAATCAAGTAAGAAAGATAAAACACAAATATGGAGAATGTAAAAAATAGCCTAAATTAAACAATCAAGGAAATTCTCCAAAACCAAGGAGATTAAGTAGGAAATAAATGAGAGAGACTATGGCACTCACAATATTATCAAAGTGATAAGCGACTTCTTGAGGCAATGCCATGTTTAAACAGAGATAGTATTTAAACGGACACTATAGAAGACAGGAAAATGAGAGGCCAGTGACACAGCTCGGTGGATAGGAGAGCTTGCTGCCAAGTCTAGTACCTGGAGTTCCATTCCTGGGATCCACATGTGGGAGGAAAGAACCCACTCTTGCAGTTTGACCTCTAACCCCCACATGCCCCTCTCCTACACAAATAACTGACTAAATAAACGAGATTTATAAATTAATTAATAATTAATTAAATGAGAGAGGGAATATATTTCTAGGGCAAATGTTAGAAAAATTAGTTTTCTCCCAATTGTAATCAGGAAACACCTGTTAGGTAAAGAAATGTGGACATCCCTTTGCCCATTTTCTTCTCTGCAACTCGATTTGGTGTCTTGTCACCAAACTTTAAAGTGGAGTTTGTTGGTGGAAGGAGAGAAGGATAAAGGAGAGGAAAGAAAGACCCAGTAAGAAACAGAACACTAGCCTTTAAGTGGAGTTACTCTTCATATTTTGAATATTTTTTTAACACAGGTGAAATAAAATTCAATCCTCCACATCCTGAAACTAATAATGTTCAAGACAAACAACCGTGCTTCAGCAGGACATCTTCGGGGGGATCATTCACAGCCTCTAATGTCCCCTCGGCTCCCATTCCTGACCTCTTTCCACCTTGCCAAATCACCGACCTGAAGGCCAGCATCCAGGGGCACAACCTCGTGAATCTGACTTGGACGGCTCCTGGGGATGATTACGACCATGGGAAAGGTAAGATGAATGTGGTTCAGGCCCTAAAGAGGAGTTGACCAACCAAGCGGTTGCAGAGCCAAGGTTGGCAGCTGTGTTGAAGGCAGGAGGAGACAGAGGCAGGGAATCTTGGATGGCTTCTGAAATTAAAAGTAAAGATGTTAAAAGTACAAGAAGCTGACCTACCTAAGGAATAAGATACTTTATCTCAGAAAAAAAATAAAACTTTGGGATTTTTTTTTAACCAATGACAAATGAGGTTTTGTAGTGTCTCTAGAGAAGGGTTAGGAATAGAGGGTAAACGTCTTCAAAGAAAATCTCCCAGTCCTCTAGACTTTGACTTTAAAAGTATCAATGTAGAAATTAGGTCTGGGATGGAGCCTAAGGCTCTCTGTTTCTAGCATGTATTTTTGTAATGTGTGGACAATAGCCTGATCTAATGAACTGGAATCTATTTTTTACCATTCTCTGAGCACATTAATGTTCAAGAAACACTAGCACCAAAAACCCTTGTCCAAACAATGAAGTAACAGGCCATGAACAGCCTTCTTCCTCAGCCAAACACCATGCTCCAAAGAGCATGTAATCACAGAATAACTTTATATTCAGCACTTTGTTAAGAGTAACAAGTACACATACTAGGTAGAAACCCTTGCAAATATGGTTTACTGGTTCCATCTATTCATGGCAACTTCATGAGGTAAAGATGTAATCCCTAACAGACATTTAAAGCTCAAGATTTGAGAATTACAAGTCACAACCCCCCTCATTCTTTTTTTCTCTCTCTCTATTTGTATTTTAGCTTCCAAGTACATCATCCGAATAAGCACAAGTATTGTTGATCTCAGAGACAAGTTCAATATCTCAGTCCAAGTGAACACTACTGATCTCATCCCCAAGGAGGCCAACTCTGAGGAAATCTTTCAGTTTGAACTGGAAGACAGTAGTTTTGGAAATGGCACAGATATCTTCATTGCAATCCAGGCTGTGGATAAATCCAATCTGAAATCAGAAATATCTAACATTGCGCGGGTATCTCTGTTCATCCCCACTGAAGAGCCACCCACATCTGAAGACACAACTCCTCCTTGTCCTGATATTAGTATCAACAGCACCATTCCTGGCATCCATGTGTTAAAAATAATGTGGAAGTGGCTAGGGGAAATGCAGGTGACGCTAGGCTTGCACTGAAATTTCAGGAGATAAATAAATCATTCCTTTCATTGTAGAATTTTCTAAGATGTATTTTAGACTTCCTGTAGGGGGCAATATAGTGATATGGGAAGCTCAAGATCTGGGTCCATGTGTATTAAAAATCATCTGCCCAAATTCTAAGGTTTAATCATTGCTCAATCCTTGAATGGTAATTGTGAATCCTTGGAAGAACCAAATGTTGCTTGTACCAATAGATTTTTATTTGTACAATTTGATTTTTATTTAAAGGAACTTTGCCAAGTAAAATAACATTCAATTGCAGTTAGCTAATCTACTAACTACTAAGATCTGAGTAAAGATGGCAATGTATGGAAGGGAGGGAGCGCACTGTAGGAAGAGATGGCACTCCCGTGGTTTCATGGTGTAGAAATGCACACTATGTTCCTGAAACTGCAAGTCAGTGATGCTGAAAGCCGCAATGGTAGGTAACAAGGAAGGGGAGGTAGATTCAGGCCAAGTGATACAGAAATAAAAATATATTCCATAATTTTTTACAAATATTTTATTAACAGCTGTCTTAGTTTTCTATTGCTGTGAAGAGACGCCATGACCAAAGCAACTTATAAAAGAAAGCATTTAATCAGGGGCTTTCTTACAGTGTCAGTCAGTCATTATCATCATGATGGGGAATGTGGCCACAGGACAGCAGGCATGGCACTGGAGCAGTAGCTGAGAGTTTCCATCAGAGACGGGGGACTGGGCCTGGTGGGGGATTTTAAAACCTCAAAGCCCACCCCCAGTGAAACACCTCTTCCAGTAAGGCCACACCTAATCCTTCTCAAAACAGTTCTACCAATAAGGGACCAAGCATTCAAATATGCAAGCCTCTGGGGGCCATGCTTATTCAAACCACCACACCACCTTATAAACAGGAGCTTATTTAGCAGTACTCAGTTAAGTCCACAGATGTTGTTCAGCTGCTAATAAAGCCAGCCACTCTTTCTACATATATCCAAAGTGTATTTCTTCACGTTCAGATCTTCCTTATTACAACTAGAATTTAAGAAAATGTTAGAACAATTAGATGCACAAGTTAATAGTGAAAAACAGAGAGATGTGGGCATATCAGGAAGTAAAAATGTTTAGCACCCTCCCCCTATTCCATATTCAAAGTGCTAACATGGGGTTTAGTTTAAATAGAAGGTGAGAGATATGTGTAATTAAGCAATCTAAGTCAAGGTGTGGCCCTTTCCATCAGTGACCCAGGATCGTCATTCATGCCAAGTGGTCTGCAAGTTGTCAAAACTGGGTTCCAGGAGACAAGTCCTTCCACTGGCTGGAGCCATGACCCCAACCAACCTTTTTCTTTTCTCAACTTGAGACCGGGAAAATTCCACTTCTCTGGGGATTATCTTAGTTAGCGTTACCATTGCTATAATGAAACGCCATCAAACCTGGTGACCAAAATCATGACCAAAAAACAAGTTAGGGAGGGAAGGGTTCATTTGGCTTATGCTTCCATGGCATTATTTATCAAACAGGAACTCAAACAGGGCAGGAACCTGTGCTAATGCACAGGCCCTGGAGGGATGCTGCTTACCGGTTTGCTCTTCACAGCTTGCTCAACCTGATTTCTTACAGAACCCAGGACCACCAGGCCAGGGATGTCACCAGCCACAATAGGTTTGGCCCTCCCATATTAATTACTAACTAAAAAATGCCCTACAGTGCTGTGGGATGGCCTGTATGTCAAGTGTGTTGCTGATTGGTCAGTAAATAAATCACTGATTGGCCATTGGCTAGGCAGGAAGTATAGGTGGGACAAGGAGGAGAATAAAGCTGGGAAGTGGAAGGCTGAGTCAGAGAGACACTGCCAGCCGCCACGATGACAAACAGCATGTGAAGATGCCGGTAAGCCACAAGCCACGTGGCAAGGTATAGATTAATGGAAATGGATTAATTTAAGCTATAAGAACAGTTAGCAAGAAGCCTGCCATGGCCATACAGTTTGTAACCAATATGAGTCTCTGTGTTTACTTGGTCAGATCTGAGCGGCTGTGGGACTGGCAGGTGAGAGAGATTTGTCCTGACTGTGGGCCAGGCAGGAAAACTCTAGCTACACTACAGGCTTGCCTGCAGCTGGATCTCATGGAGGCAGGTTCTCAACCTGAGGCTCTCTCCTCTGTGGTGACCATAGCTTGTGTCAAGCTGACATAAAATTAGCCAGCACAGGGATCAGTTTCATAGTCTGATGGCCAAAGAGAGGGAGGAAGGCAAAAGGGCATTTGTCCCTCTCTGAAGATCTTCATTCATGCCAGGGTGGTTACACTGGATGCCAGTCATCTCTCAGGGGTACTTGCAGATGCTTTGCCAACTCAGTGATCAGAAGGTCAGGAGGCAATTCTCTTAAGCAAAGTGCAAATGGGCACTAAGCCACATGCCAGGTGAGAGGGCCACCTTATGCTGCAGTGAACAAGTGAGTCTGAGGTCCCGATCAAACTCTCTAGAACATGGCTGCCGTAAGGCTTGCCGGGAAATTTCTAAGAGATTGCTCATTGCAAAAACTTAGCTTTTCCCCCCATGTAATAATGCAGATCCACTCCATGACAAGCTGCTCAATGATGCAGAGTTCATAGAAATGGCTTTCTTTTCCTGGGCTCTGCTTTCTGTCTTACCTCTTTGCTGACATTCATCCCCTTTCTCCTCAGAAGTCAGCTCTCGCCTGTCTATGAAGAATGTATGCATGAATGTGTGGATGAAGGTACTGTTCCATAGTACATTCCACTGAGTTCATCCAAATGGAAAATTAAATTCCCAATGGATGACATTTATAAGGGACATTGTCAATAATAGGATTTTCTAATAAGTGCCCGTGCCCCACCTGGCCTTTGTCCTCTAGGGTCATGACTTGGTCTCATATTCCTTCTGCACTCATTCCCTATCCTCTTCACGGGCCTCAACTTGCATCAAAAGAAGCTGTGCCTCCTCTCCAGTACCACATACCAGGCAAGGATTCATAGGACATTCACCAAACTCCTTCAGGAAGCTTTTGATCTGGACATTACTCCTATAATCTTTTTTTAATGCTTCTGTTCTATGCTTTTGATATATGCTATCTCATTTCTATATATGCTATATCCCTTTTCTACACTGGCATTACCAGCCTTATCTAAGATAGACACTGAGTGACAACATTCTCTTCCCAACCCTCCTACAATCACTCTGAGTGACAGAGTATTTATGTGATGGTTTGACAAATACCTTAGACAAAATTCCTGTGAAATCTCAAATTCCAGCACCCTCTTCTAGTCATCCAAGTCCCCAAACCCTCGGGTTGTTCCTTCTGCCCACTTGGCTGGCTTTGGGAGCTCATGGTGGCCCTCACGGTTGTGTCTCTTTACTCAGCTCATTCTCACCATCTCTGTGGGGCGTCTCCATGCCTGGGCATCACGTGTCCTTCCTAACGATGCCTTCATCTCTCATCTACCTACCGTCTTATTACATCTGCCCTGAAGCTAGCTAGTTTTCCACTGAGCATGTTGTCTGAGGCTTTGTGGCAGGAGAGTAGAGGCATGGGGGAAAAAGCATCAGATTGACAGACACAAGAAGCTTGAAGCCAGTTGACAGAAAGGCTGGACACATCTCCTCACCAGGGCTACATGTGACAATACAGAGTACATGTGAGTGGTGCAGCCACCTCTCCCAGACAGGGTAAGTGCTGTATAAAAGACCTATAAAGGAACAGAACTCAGGTGACGCAGGGCTTTGGAGCAACCGTCTCCTTGGCTCCCTTGCCCATTTTCACCCTCAAGAGCGACTTCTTTCTTTATTAATAAACTCCTATTTCTATCACTACTCATGTTCAGCTCACTGTTCCAGGATACAAAAACCTGGAAATCCCAACAGGTACACTCCTAAGTCCAATCCACACCTGTTAACGTTAGTGCAGCCAGCAAGGAGATAAGATCTCAGCTAATTCTTATCTCCCCCTTCCTTCTTTATACTTCCTTTTACTGTTTCCCCAGAGCACTTCAAAATTTCTATAAGGCAAACTTCCAAGGGAGGCCTAATCATAGGCCTGGGGAGCCAAATTAAACCTAACCCTCCTCTCTTCCCTTTGGTGGCTTATGGGCCAGGATGTGCTTAAACTGTTCCCCCAGACTACAGGATGTTAGTCGGTCTTCTGCAGAGGCATTGATCAGCAGCTGTCTGGGACCTGTGCCTTTAAACTGGGAGGACTACAGATCCTCAGTGTCTCCAGTGGAGCCTGAGAGGCACAAAGCCAGAGTCCTTCGGTGACTCCTGCCTCAAGGGTAAGTGGACTAATGCACTTGGTCTGTTGTGTAGATAGTCAGGATGGAGCGCAAATAAGGGTGAGCATGATGGTGCTAATAAAACCAATGATGCCCAGTGGTCCCACCTGCCACTAAGTCCTTTGAATATCACTGCAACATCAGACTCCCTCATGCCACTAGCGATCCTTTGCCTGGACCACTCTTCCTCTCTTTGTTCTTTTCCTCCCACCCTCCCAAAGGCCTGCAAGGATGAGAACAGCAGACTTGGATGGTGCTCTGGCACAGCACTGTGGCAGCCGTTGCCCTTACCTTCACCAGACAGTTCCCCAGGCATTCACCCCTCCCTGGAACTAGACGGGGGTAGGAGGGAGCAGTTGCTGAACGTGTTACACATAGGATTCTAATGCCCACTGGTGTCACATGCTGGTCCCACCAGAATCTCCAAGCTTAGGTTTATTCTACAAAACAAACCCCTGGTGGAGACAGAAACCTAAAGTCTGGGACCCAATCTCAAAGATGGCACCAGTGACCTACTTCTTTTAACCAGGTCCTATCTCTCACCACAATATTCTATTTAAATTTTGAGCCCACTGGTTAGATCAGATCAGAGTCCTCATGACCTGGTCACCTCTGGAAATAGCTTTACAGTCACACCCAGGGGTACGCTTAACTAACCTCACAGGCATCTCCAAAGCCAATGAAGTGACAGTCAATATTAACATCACCCTGTCCAAGCCCATA